AAATATAAGAGAGACAGTGCTTCGCTGGGAGATAAAGAGCACACAGAGCGCACTTTAGGTTTTATTTGGAATATCAAACGGGATGTAATAAGTTTCTCCATAAGTCTTCGTAACACACCGGAAGAGGTGATGGAAGGTTTACGACCACCTACGAAGAGAGAGATAACTAGCGCTGTGATGTCAGTCTTCGATCCTTTAGGACTCGCATCACCCATAACGATTCAAGGGAAGTCGCTGATCCAGCAAGTATGGAGGACAGGCATCTCTTGGGATGAAGAAGTTTCACACGAACTGCACGTGTTATTTTGTAAATGGATATCGGAAGTGAAGAAATTAGGTCATTTAGAAGTACCTAGACCCGTTGCTGAAGGCGTCGGCAAAGGAGAGTTGCACACTTTCACGGATGCTAGTGAAAAAGCATACGCTGCCGCGGTGTATTACGTCACCACGGACGAGCTAGGAGAGAGGCGGATTACGCTGATCGCCGCAAAGGCAAGAGTATCGCCGCTGAAACCAATTTCGATTCCAAGGCTTGAATTGCAAGCAGCTCTTACCCGACTACGGACGATTTAGCAGCTTTAAGAAATTCCTTGGGGCAACTACACCTTACAAGCGGTAGAAAAATTCAAGAGTTTAAGAAAGTCAGTTAAAGGACCCGACAGAGCAGCCGAAAAGTCGGTTATGTGTTCCAACAAAGTTTTAGCAAAGTCGGTTAAAGGACCCGATGGCGCGTTGGACATAGCGCTCTTGAGAAAAGCGGAATTGTTAATTTGGAAATTTGTTCAAGACGAGTGTTTTCATTCGGAAATAAAATGCTTGAAAGCAGGCAAAAGCGTTGAAAAGAAGTTCACGCTTAAGTAAATTATCTATGGAAATAGGAGAAGATAACTTACTCCGTTTAAATGGACGTTTACCTTTTAAGTCTAATTTGACTAAGGAAAGTAGAAAACCTGTCGTATTAGACGGTAAACATGAAATCGTTAAAATGATGATTAGAGAAGTTCATCATCATTTTGGACATGCCAATCACCAGACGGTGATGAATGAGGTGAACGAGAAATTTTATGTCTTGAACTTGCGTAATGTAGTACGAAGTGTGTCACATCACTGTCATTGGTGCAGGACATACAGGTCAAAACTGCAAAACGTGCCACAAGGAAATATTCCTCTAGAGAGAATAGCTCATCATGAACCACCTTTTACATGTTCAGCCGTAGATTACTTCGGACCTATGAGTGTGACTACAGGAAGGCGACACAAAAAACGTTGGGGTGTTTTATTTACGTGTCTGACCACCAGAGCAGTACATCTGGAATTAGCAGCCTCATTGACACCAGCGTCAATGATAATGGCATTGAGGCGATTTATCGCCAGAAGAGGAAAACCAGCCGTTATATACAGTGATAACGGGACGAATTTCAAAGCTGCGAATAAAGAATTATTGAAAGCATACGAAGAATGCCATGAGGGCATGAAAAATGAGTCATTTGAGAAATATATTAAATGGAAATTTATACCTCCGGGAGCATCCCACATGGGTGGCGCCCGGGAAAGGTTAGTAAGATCGATTAAAATTGCGTTGACCGCTACGCTCAAAGAAAGGAGCCCACGGGAGGAGGTTCTGCATACGCTGCTTTTAGAAGCAGAGCATACGGTAAATTCCAGGCCTCTGGTAACATTCAGTATGGATAGTCCTGAAGAGGGTTTGACACCCAATCATTTTCTTCTGGGACGCTCATGTGGTGATCGACCACCTGGATTATTTTTAGAGCAACATCTGACGGGTCAACTCAATTGGAAAGCTGCACAGAGGTTAGCCGACCATTTTTGGACAAGATGGTTGAAAGAATACATGCCTACTTTAATACCTCGGACAGACATACATAACGGAAAGTTCATGGAACCTAAAGAAGGTGATATTGATTTGATAATAGATCATTCGTTGCCACGAAATACGTGGCCGAAAGGCAAAATTAGTAGAACGCTACCGGGACCAGACGGTCACACCAGAGTGGTTGACGTCATTACTAGCACAGGTATCTTGAGGAGACCTACATCCAGAATAATAGTCCTGGTACCCGCGACGCCTCCCAAATAATGGTGCTTACGCACGGAGTGGAGATTGTTGGCGACGCGCCTATAAGAATATTTCAGTTTATTAAGTCAACCGATGACGAATAGCTTCTAAAAAGGCAAATTGTCCAATAGCAATGTTCTAATAAGAAAATGCTTAGTTAAATCTTAAAGAATATCGAATTAATGATATGAAGGTCTTGAGTTCGACTCCCAGGCCGGACTAGTTTATTGTTTTCTTAGTAATATCTCTTAATAAATCCATATAGGGAATTTTAAGATATAAATTATGTTACCGGATTTGTTCCCCGGTTGAAATCATCTTTCCAATGATCTAAATTCAAAGGAATATTAAAGTGAAGTTAGAGATCGGATTTGTTCCCCGGTCGAGATGATCACTCTGTGCATAAATATAATTAACGGAAATTAATCGCATAAGTATTGTCTTATATAAGTTTGATATGTTTTGTACGAAAACAAATGCCTATTTGCCATGATTGATTTATGAGAACATTCACTTATATTGTTATCTGATAAGAAACATGATAACTGATAAGAATCTGATTAGAAATAGTTTCCTACAGTTTGAAAATTGTGTAGAAGCATTTATTCACCCAATATTGTTAAAATTGGTGTATATCAGACTTTCATTTTTTCTGATAGCCGAGAGCCGTGCATAAGTTAGTTGTTCAAATAGTGTGAGTTCATAGACGCACGCTAGCCACGTACTTAGGAGGCCAAATATGTAAAAATTTAAATATTTATAATTTCAGCAATTTATGTAAAAATGTCTTGTAAAACATTTCAGGTTGACTGTACGTGCTAAAAAGGTGAATTCTGTGTTATTTTTATGTGAAAATTCCTGTGTATAAGTGAAATAATGATAGTTTTGTATAAGAAATTTAAAAGTATTTTAATAGTGAAATAAATAGAGAAAATGTAAATTAAAATATTGTATTAGTTAACATATGTATAATTTCAAGTGGAAAACATTGTTTTAACTTTCTATGTTAAATATTTAAGAAATTTCGACTTTGAACTTGTGAGTAAAATAGGCATATTTTGTTAAATAAATAATAGGTTTTTCGTGATATAAAAATGTAATGTATATCGTAGTGTAGATATTGTTTTGTGCTATCTATACAGGTAAATTATGTTGATGTATGAATTATGCAAATAAAGTAATTAAGTAAAACGTGAGAGAGTAATAGAACAAATTCATGTAATTGAGTTGCGCAAGCGCGCGAATGGCGCGGCTCACTTTCGCATATAGCTCTGGGGTAGCTTAGTAAATGAGTTTTATTGTAATTCGTTCGGGAAAAAAGTTCGAGAAAAAGTGAAAAACCAGCAGTCAATAAGAAGAGTATAGGGAAGTGATAGGGAAAAGTGATTACTCTCTCACGGAACGGTTTGAAGATAATTGCTGTTTTATTCCCAAGTAATTCATCCCTCAAGATTATACAGTCCACATCGAAGAATTAAGGCGTTGGGACCGGGACGACTTCGGAAGACCCGTAATCCCCGTCTGAACCTACTCGCTGAAAAGGAAGAGGTTATCGCCCTTGTGTGTTACTCCGTTGCGGAGATCACATACGTTGTTCCCGAACCCTATGTAGGCGTTATAGGAGGCCGGATCGAGGAGAAGCCTCGATTCCTCCCTTCTGTTTCTTAATCGAACGTTTAATCCCCGTTGGTCCTTTTCAATTGGTTCCTCGCGGCCGGATCAAGAGGACCCCCGAACCTTGGTTCCTTTTCAGCCACAAATCACGGTCCTGAGCCACCTGCATCCATCGACTTCCTGCATGTCTTACCAGGTCGTCACTCCATCTAGTGGGGTGTCGCCCTACACTACGCCTACTGGTACGAGGCTGCCACTCGAGAACCTTTCTTCCCCATCGGTTATCGGTTCTTCGAGCTATATGGCCGGCCCATTGCCACTTCAGCTTACTAATCCGTTGAGCTACGTCGTTCACTCTGGTTTTACTGCGGATATCCTCATTTCTGAATCTATCCCACAGAGAAACTCCGAGCATAGCCCTCTCCATAGCTCGCTGAGCGACCTTGAGCGTCCTCATACGGCCAGCAGTGAAAGACCACGTCTCAGATCCGTAAGTCATCACTGGCAACACGCACTGGTTGTACAATCTAGTTTATAAATAATAGCGGTATCTAAATTACGTAATAATGTACAACATATTATCATTCGCTAAGTGCTCGCTTGTCATTAACCACAGTAATCGGGGCACTTTATTCTGAAGAGCTAACGGACCACCTCGACGACTTTGAAAAATGGCCGCGTACTTAATCTAACGCTTACTGCTCTCAACGTGAATAGAGCCATTAAATGCTTTTGAAACTCTGTAAATGTGAACGGATCTGCGTTAACAGTAGATTAATACGATTGGAGATAATTATTAAATGTGTGATTATAACTGAGTTGTAATTGTTTACAGATTTTTAAGAATCAATTTGCAGAATGCATTGTCACCTAAAAATTAAGATGGAATGCCTCGTTTCAGTAAAAAGAGGCTGCGCCGCTCTACACATGCCATAGGAAATATACGATACAGACACACACGCATTAAACCACTTTTTTTACGCTGATATTACGTGTGAGTGTGCCCTTTCTTGGTCTAGAAGACCTATTCGTCCGTAACCATAATATAGCCGCAACGTGGCAATACAATTTTAATTTTGATTTTCTACATAATATGCTATTAGTCAAATAAGTTAATAATAATAATAATAAGTTGGTTGATTCAAACGATGATGGAACAGTCGCCCAGGAACTGGAATTAGAGCATATGAGGAGTACATTGGAAGAGGCGATTGTGGAAACGCGCAGTACGCCTCTCGAAAATCGACCGCGACTTCCCAGCATAGCCCTAAGCAAGCGGAATCGGGCTGTCGTGAGGGCTCTGAACCCAATGCTGGTGACCTATTTGGAAGCCAGCCGTTACCTTTGCGAGACGGACTCAATTTTTATTGGCGCCGCGCTGGCAGTCTGCCGTATCATAGGCGCCAAGATTTCCACGGCTGGACGCGCTACTGGTCATAGTAGCGCTATCCCAGCATGGAGAAGAAGAATTGAGGAACGTATCGCAAATTGTGCGCACCGTCAGGTGGCGTTTGCTGGGACAAATGTCAGTTTGTCCCAGCCGGATATAACGCAAAAACTGAAGCAGAGAATCGCTGCTTGGGGAAAGCGGATTCGGCGATATACCGAGAGGTCGACACGGTTCAACCAGAATCGTCTCTTCCAGAGTGATCAGAAGAGGCTCTATGAATCATTGGAGCGACCAATGGTAAGTGGAACGGGTCCAGCACCGAATCAGGCCGACACTGTAGCATTCTGGCGCGGCCTGTGGTCAGAGCCCGTAAACCACAGCGAGGGCCTTTGGACGGAAGTTGTGGCCAGTCAGTGTGCGGGTATCACGGCCATGGACCCCGTCACCATAACGCCGGATGACGTAGCTGAGGCGGTCCGTAGGGCCCCGAACTGGAAAAGTCCGGGGCTTGACGGGCTGCATCACTACTGGCTGAAGGGGTTCATGGTGTGTCACTCTGTGCTCGCCCGACAGTTTTTAGAGGCTCTCAACCAGAAGTCGCTCCCAAGCCTCTTCACTACTGGGATCACTCATTTGGTTCCTAAAGACCAGGGTACCACAGACCCGAGCAAATACCGCCCCATCACGTGTCTACCGACCATATACAAGACACTAACATCCATTTTGAGCGCGAGAATCACTTTTCACCTGGACTCAAATCAGGTGATGTCGCGCGCTCAAAATGGATGTCGGGGCGGTGGTCGTGGAACCAAGGAACCACTCCTCATTGACGCGGTCATTGGCAAAGTGGTGAAACGCAACCGTCGGAACTTCTCCGCCGCCTGGATAGACTACAGAAAGGCATTCGACTCGGTGCCCCATACATGGCTAAAGAGAGTCCTCGAGCTGTACAAGATCGACTGTACAGTTAGAGACTTCCTCGAGCAGTGTATGGGGCAGTGGAGCACGATCCTTTGTCATCTGGGCGAGCGGATGATGGCTGCGGAGAACCACATAAGGATAAGAAGGGGTATCTTCCAGGGCGATTGTCTGAGTCCAATCTGGTTCTGCCTCTCTCTGAACCCTCTCAGTACCTTACTGGAGGGCTCCGGGAGGGGATTTCAGCTACGGAAAGGAGGGACAAAAGTGACCCACCTTTTCTATATGGATGACCTCAAGTTATTCGCCTCCAGTCGCTCCCATCTTATGGAACTGCTAAACATCACTTGTGAATTTAGCAGTTCCATTGGAATGGAGCTGGGGACGGATAAGTGTGCGGTCCTCCATGTTGAAAGGAGAAGGGTTGCTAACTCTGAGGGCATAGACTTGTCTATGCCCGTCAACACAAGGACCCTTTCCGAGGCTGAAACATACCGTTACCTGGGTATGTCACAGAACATCGGTATCGATGAGGCTGGTATGAAACAGTCAGTTTGCGACGTGTTTTATGCACGCTTGACCAAAGTGCTTAACAGCCTTTTGTACGGTGTGAATAAGACACACGCATATAACGGTTGGGTCATGCCTGTCCTCATGTATACCTTTGGCATACTCAGGTGGAACCAGACTGAACTTAATGCCCTGGATAGAAAAGTCCGCACTACCATGACGTCCCATAAGATGCATCATCCGAGATCGTCGGTAATGAGGCTGTACTTGCCGCGGAAGCATGGTGGTCGTGGCTTCTTGAGCGCGCTCACCATGCATAATCGCGAAGTGTGCAGCCTCCGTGATTACTTCCTGGCGAGATCGGATGATCCATTCTATAGGACGTTATTTCTTGTGATAAAGGACTTACCCCTCTATCTTTAGCCAACGAGCAATGGCAAGACCCGGCAGTGCAGAGCATTTCCGACCGGGAGACCGTATGGAAGGAGAAGGAGCTCCAAGGGAGGTTCTACAAGGCTCTACATGAGCCTTTCGTAGACACAGTAGCCTCCCTCCACTGGCTACGCTTTGGTGATCTCTTCGGGGAAACCGAGGGTTTTGTCTGTGCAATACAGGATCAGGTTAGACCAACAACTATAGGAGATACATCCTAAAGGATGGCACCGTCGACATCTGTCGAGCTTGTCGCCATCCCGGTGAGTCTCTTAGGCATGTTATCTCCGGTTGTTCGGCACTTTCTAACTCTGAGTACTTGCACAGGCACAACCTAGTAGCCAGAATTCTACACCAGGAGCTTGCTCTGAAATACGGTCTCGTGGACCGGAAATTGCCGTATTACAAGTACTTGCCGGAAGCCGTGCTCGAAAATGACCGCGCCAGGCTCTACTGGGACCGGGCCATCATCACAGACAGGACTATTCTTGCGAATAAGCCTGATATTGTGCTGATGGACCGGGCACAGTCAAGGATATTTTTGGTCGACATTACCATTCCGTATGACGAGAACCTCGTGAAAGCCGAAACAGACAAGCAAACAAAATATCTGGACCTGGCTCACGAGGTGACCGACATGTGGGGTGGTCTGCCGACCGAAATTATTCCTGTAGTCGTCTCTGCAAACGGGCTAATCCCAGTCAGCCCCTCGGGTCATCTGAGGTGACTGGGACTACGTGGCGGACCGCTCCGGGCTCAAATGCAGAAGGCGGTGCTCCTCGATACCGCCCGCATCGTCCGTCGGTTTCTTTCTCTTTCCCCCTAACCCGCGGCCGTTTGGTCTCCCCTGCCGAGGGCCTCCATCCGGTTGGGCTTTTATTTATTTAAGTATTTTTATATTTATTTTATGTTATTGATATTTATGTATATTTATCTTTTCATTCTCATTTATAATTATATATTTATAGAACCCAACCAGATGAGAAAACTATATAGATACCCCACAATAATAATAGTATTCCACAACTATCACACAAAGCCCTCTAGTCCCAAGCTAAGCAGAGCTTGTGTTATGGGTACTAGACAACTGATAAACATACTTATATATTTCTAAATACATAAATATTATAGATAAATTACACCCAGACACAGAACAAATGATCGCGCTCACCACACAAACATTTGTCCTGTGTGGGAATCGAACCCAAGACCTCCGGCATCTCAGGTCAGGGTCACTAACCACTAGACCAACAGGCCTGTCAAAATTACGATTTTGTTTTAACTAACAAATTGTATGTTAACACCGACTTTCGATGGATAAGAACGTTTCTAAAGAGGCAACCTCGTACTGGAAAGCGCAATGTTGAGCGATTCCCCACAGATGTTTGACGAACTGATGAAACAGGCAAGCAGTCGATGGAGTCAGTTTAGCAGTGGACTTGTGATCGGCTTTATTCCATTTATATCACTATGATAGTTGTGAACACCATGTGGGTATCCCATGACAAGGCCAAAATTAATCTTAGACGTCTCTCCAAGACTAACACAGAACACGATCCTTAGTCAGTGATACGTGCTACCAGGTCATCATTCCATTTTCCTTCTTATACTCCGCCTATCGATCTGACGCAGCCATTCCAGAACTTTTATATAAATAGTATATTAAATTTTAATAAATATGCATTAATTTAAACTTAGGCACTACATAATACCTATTGCTTAAAATCTTCTAACGATTAGTGATAAAAATTACCGCTGCCCGCATTACAGTACTCACGAACTAAATCAAGCGTTAAGTTTTAAATTACCTTAATATAAATTAAGCTGCCGATGAATGAATAGGCGTTGGGTGGAGTTCATTTGTTATGACCATTCGATTTGTGGTTGAAGCATTAAAATTATTGTCTTCGACTACATCTGTTCAATATTATTCCAGATACAAATTTCTAGCACAAATATTTACTCTAGATTAATATTAATAGCTTGACTGGTTAAACCACAGAAATTTAATTAATATTATTTGGATTTATCTGGGTTAAAAGACTGTTAGATATTAATTTATAATGAATAGTTGTGTTAGAAGCTTGTACCTGAAATAATATTGAAAGTTTGAGTTGATTGAAAGTCTAAGGAAATTGTGTGTTATAAGGCAAGGACATAAACTGTTTTAAAATAAATTTACTTATAACTTTAATAACACTAAATTGGAACTTGATACAGAGAACTTGCAAATGGAACTGATCTGAAGGGTTGGAGGATTTTGGGGACAATGTTTTTGTTGTTTATGTTATCATTTCATTAGTCTAGGACTGTATTAGTAAACGCAAACGTTAATATTTAAAAAATGAATGATAACACCTATAAGTTTATATGCAAAATAATTCTAAAATGGTCACTTGTGTTTATGTCAGCCCGTAATTTTGTTCTGTCAGTCAGTCTGAAAACGCGCATTGCTATTACATATCGCTCGATATAATTAGATATAATGGTTGCTGTTGGATATAATTCTTATTTTTGGTTACATTGAAAATAAAAATGATTATTTTGTTTTTGTTTTACTTATATTTTTTTATTTTCGAAATCAGTAAAATTGGCATGAAAATATAACGAACAAAATCTCAGTATGCAACAAATCTAAAGAAATTTTGAAACTGTCTTTATAAAAGTGTATACAAACGAATTTATATTTTGAACAACAAACGCTATAACTAACATTGTGACCAATCGATGTAGGGTTATGCAGCCAATCCCGTTGATACACTTTATCCCCTGTCAACTCAATCTGATGGGATTATTTCGTAACGTCACTGATACAGGGAATATCTTTTGTTAAATGCGATTTAATGTCTGATATGAACATTTCGTTAGTCGTTACATTATTTTTAAATTATATTTTAATAGTAATGAGTAAAATTTTTATGAATTAAATTATTCTTTTATGTTTTTCTCTCTGTGTTATAATTTCTTTATTGGCGATTTTTTTATAAAAGTAGGGGTAATAAACGAGCATACAGTCAACCTGATGGTAACTAGATGCTGACTCGTAGACCACTTTAACTGATCTCGATTAAGAACCAAATTCCGGATGCGTTGTCACCCCCCTGAGGTCCCGACCCATTCGTACTACAACTACACTACTACTATAGTTGCAGCTAGAGATTGCAAAATCCGGATTATTTTGAAATCCGAATTTTTGAATTTTCCTATGATTAAAATCCGGATAATCCGGATTTTTCGAAGTTTTAAGGTGATTTGATAAAACAATTAAAATTTGCATTTATTCAGACACGACAAAATAAAATCAACCAAAATAAACAAAAACCACGTTCAGAATATGCACTACCCCATACCTTCCCGTGGGTGTCGTAAAAGGCGACAGAGAGAAACAGGCAGGAGATGGGCAGCAACATCTTCCTAATAACAGCTACAATATAACAAAATACTTCAGTTGCCAACCCGCCCGCCAAGCGTGGCTACTATGGCAATATACCCTCATGAGCAATGACGCAAATAGACGGCCCAAATCGCTATTCCAGGCTAAGGTGGCGACTATGGTAACGGCAGGGCAGGGTGTGCTAAGAATCTCCGGTGAAGGTTCAGTTGCCACCTAAAACGACTTGAGCTGGCAAATTACAACGAACGCACCCTGAGGACTGACGAGAAGATCCTGGAGCTGGAAGAGGAGATAGACAAGTTGCGTTGGAATATTATTGGATTATCCGAGGTCCGAATAGAGGGGAAGGACACGGTTATTATCGAATCTGGCAACTCGTTCTATCACCGGGAGGATCAACATCTGTACCAAGGAGGTGTTGGATTTATCGTCGACAAGTCTCTCGTTAACAACTTTATAAAGATTGAGAGTGTGTCGACGAGGGTTGCGTACTTTATACTTAGAATCACCAAACGGTATTCGCTGAAGGTCATACAGGTTTACGCACAAACGTCGGTACATCCCGATGAGGACGTGGAGGAAATGTATGAGGATATTTCTAAAGCCGTGCATTCCTCTAAAACCTACTATACGGTGTTAATGGGAGACTTCAACGCAAAGCTAGGCACAAGAAATATCGGTGAGCTGAAGGTAGGGAAATTTGGGATAAGGCAATGGAACCCAAGGCACGAGCAGCTGGTCGTTTTCGTGGAGAAATAGGGACTCTTTATGATAAACTCTTTCTTTATGAAGCGGCCCCACAGAAAGTGGACTTGGTCGAACCCCGACGGTTCGACAAAAAATGAGATCGACTTCATTATGACGACCAGACGCCAACTGTTCAGTGATGTCTCAGTGATCGCAAGGGTGAAAACTGGCAGCGATCACCGAATGTTTAAAGAACCTAAACGTTAAGCTTGAGAGGTCTCGTCTAATGAAGTCAACGCTCGGTCCCCTCGTGTTCTGATCCAAAATCCCGAAACATTTCAGCTGGAGATACAAAATCGTTTTCAGGGCCTAGAATATGAATGACAAGCTCGTGGAAACTGTCCATGCGGTCGGAGCTAAGTTCTGCAAGACCCGCCGCAGAAGAACACCAAACACTCTCCGATCACACACACTCTTAATCTCACGGCTGTTAGACGAGAGATGAGGCTGCAATCGTCAACAGATTTGACAGCATACAGGCAACTGAATAGACAGATCTCCAAATGCATACGGCGTGACTTACGCAACTTCAATACAGCTTGTGTTGATGAAGCGATTGAGTGGAACCAGGGCTCCAAAGTAGTTGCCAGAGATATTTCTGTTAGAAAGAGCCAACTGTCAAGGCTGAAGACTGAGTGTGGCAGCATCGTTTCCGGGACACCTGCGATTTTGAGTGAGATTGAGAGGTTATATGGGCTACACACATCACCATTGGACCCACACGCAAGTGTGAGTAACGATTCGCGAACAGCCTCTCGAGCAAACCGGTTTCCGAAAAGGCTTCAGTACCTTAGACCACATACATATCCTACTGCAGATTGTACAAAAGACGGAAGAGTACAATCTGCCACTTTGTCTGGCGTATGTGGACTATGAGACAACCTTTGTATCAGTCGAAATTTGGGCGGTGCTACAGTCCCTTCAGCGGTACCAAGTTGACTTTTAGCACACAGGCTACCTGATGGTAAGTGGTTGCTGTGGCCCATAGACATCTATATTTATCCTCGATTACGAATCAAAATCTAGATGCGTTGTCACCCGTGAGGACTAAGATGGAATGCCTCGTTTCCAGTAAAAAGGGTTTTCGGTTCTTTACACGCACCATACGAAACACAGCAGCGTTAGGCTACTGTTTCACGCTGGTATTCTGTGAGAGCGTGGTCCTTTCCCGGTCGCGCCAACCCATTCGTGCAACAACTATACTTCTGATATAACTGCATTGACTGTCGTTATATCTAAGTGCTGATGTGTTTGTTACAGTAGTGCTACGATGGCTATCCGAGTACAGAACCAGAGTACGAAACCTATCCAACTGCAGAGAGGTGTAAGACAGGGTGACGTTATATCCCTGAAACTTCACCGCTGCATTGGAAGACGTTTTCAAGCTACTGGACTAGAAAGGACACGGTATTAACATCAGTGGCGAGTTCATCACTTACCTTCGATTTGCCGACGATATATTCCTTATGGCAGAATCGCTTGAGGACCTTAGCACTATGCTCAATGACCTCAATGGTGTCTCCCAACGGATAGGTCTTAAGATAAACAGGGACAAAACAAAGATCCTGTTTAATGTCCATGTCACACCTATGCCGGTAGTTAGCACGGTAGGGAGCACTAAGTTCGAAGTTTTTGATGAGTGAGTTTACCTGGGATAAGTAGTCCAACTTGGACCGAGAGATCAATCGGTGGATTCAACTCGGCTGCGCACCGTTCGGGAAATTACGACACATCTTCTCGTCAGGTATACCTCAAAACCTAAAAACGAGACTGTACAACCAGTGTGTGTTGCCAGTGGTGACTTATGAATCTGCAACGTGGTCCTTCACGGCTGGCCGTATGGAGGATGCTCAAGGTCACTCAGCGAGCTATGGAAAGTGCTATGCTCGGGGTTTCTCTGCGTGATACACTAAGAAATGAGGATATCCGAAGTATAACAAGAGTGACTGACATATACCAACGGATCAGTAAGATGAAGTAGTAATGGACCGGCCATATAGGTCGAAGAACCGTCAACCGATGGGGAAAACTGGTTCTACAGTGGCAAGTTCATACCGCTAGGCGTAGTGTAGGGTGACCCCCCACTAGATGGAGTGACAACCTGGTAAGACATGCAGGAAGGAAAACATGCAGGAATGGATCCAGGTGGCTCAGGACCGTGCTTTGTGGCATGCCTTAGGGGAGGCCTATGTTCAGCAGTGGACTTGTGAAGGGCTGTAATGATGATGATGACGATGAACAACTGCAACACCAGGGGAATCGCAGATGCGTTGCTGGCCTTTTAAAAGTATTAGGCTCTTTTCTTGAAGGTCCCTAAGTCGTATCGGTCCGGAAAAATCTCTGGGGCTTGAAAATATTAATTTTCAAATTTAGAAAGTTAAGAATAATTTTTAAGAACCGTGCTTTATGGCATTCTTTCGGGGAGGTCTATGTTCAGCAGTGGACTTGTGATGGACTGTAAGGATTGTGGTAATTATGAAAATAAACAATAAAACACAGTCATAAACTGAACATAACACAAAATCAAAAGTAACAAAATGTAAGATAATTTAAGTATCCATAATTTTTATAAGAGTGCAGTCTCAAAAAACTAATGTTT